TGGCTTCTTTGTCATTCCTTATACACACCAAGCCTGCTCACACTTTAGCATCTTTGCATTTATCGTTCCATCTGCCTGTAACACCTTCTCCTCTCCACCTTGAAATCCTCTTAGCTTATCCCCTTACTTCTTTTAGGTCTCTTGCTTGAATGTCACCCTCTCAAGGGACTCTTCCCTGACCTACTTTTTTTATTATTAATTGAATTTATTGGGATGACAATGGTTCACAAAACCATACAGGTTTCAAGTGTACAACTCAATAAAACATCATCTGCACACTGCATCATGTGCCCATTGCCCCAAGCAAAGTCTCTTTCCATCCCCATTTCCCCCCCTTTGCCCACCTCCACCCAGCCCCTCACCCCCCTTTCCCTCTAACTATGACCACATTGTTGTTTGGGTCTATGTGTTATGTATATGTTTTTTAGCTAATCCCCTCACCTTCTTTCATCCAGTCCTCCCCCTCCCCCCGCCCTGACAGCTGTCAGTCTGTTCCATGCCTCTGTTTCTGTGTGTTCATCAGTTTATTTTGTTCATTAGATTCCACATATAAGTGAGATCACATGGTATTTGTTTTGCTCTGACTGGCTTATTTCACTTATCATAATCTCTAGGTCCATCACACTGTCCCAAAAGGTAAGATGTCCTTTTTTACAGCTGTGTAGTATTCCATTGTGTAAATGTCCCACAGCGTTTTTATCCACTCATCAACTGATAGGCACTTGGGCTGTTTTCAGATCTTGGCTATTGTAAATAACGCTGCAATGAACGTAGGAGTGCATATATTCTTTCAAATTAGTATTATGGGATTCTTAGGATATATTCCCAGAAGTGGGATCACTAGGTCAAAAGCAGTTCCACTTTAATTTTTTGAGGGAACTTCATACTGTTTTCCACAGTGGCTGCACCAGTCTGCATTCTCACCAACAGTGCATGAGGGTTCCCTTTTCTCCGCATCCTCACCAGCACTTGTTATTTGTTGATTTATTGATATCTCAGTGTGGTTTTAACTTGATCTCTCTGATGATTAACTTTGAGCATTTTTTCAGATGTCTACTGGCCATATTTATGTCCTCTTTGGAGAAGTGTCTTTTCAGGTTTAAATTGCTACCGCCTGACCTCAGACTCCCCACACCCCCTCCTTTCCCTGCTCTCTCTTTTTCCCCCAAGTACTTATCATCACTTGACATATTGTTTATTGTCAGTATCCCAAGCTCCTTGAGAACAGGGACTCTAAATATTCTGTTTAATGTATCTGGTATACAGTAGTTTGAGAACAATGAAGAGCCTTATGCTTCCTAGGTGCTTAAATAAATGGTCTCAAAGACATTTTCCAGAGCAAAGGCAACCTGCCTCTGTCCCAGTCTAGATTAATTTAGCAAATCCTTTCCCCTCACAAACAGTGCCTTTAAAAACCACTCTAATTTGTCCATAGTTGTGAATAGATAGCAATGTCACTGAGCAATAGAGTGAGCAGACTGAGCCAACGTAACCAGAGTGTAGTACATATTATAATAACATAAAACTTACAGCAAAGTTAATCAGACACATATTTAATGATATGCATAATTGTTATTGTGCTGCACAGTAACTAGTCATAAATGGTAGACACTTCATGTAAATGACTCTAATTACTTTTTTTTACACAGCCACGCTAAGCATGTCATGGATCAGATTCAGAGGAAAACAGGGAGGGGAAAGCTGGGTACTTAACTCTGGGAGGTCTCTCTCTTTTTCCATATCCTATGGGCTAATGGTCTCCTCCCAGCCTGGGTGATGTACCTTCAAAAGTAACTTTTTCCACTCCATAGCAGGAGTGGCTTCCTTTTACCAAAGATAACAAAATTAGGGTGAGGGCTTGGCCTCTGTCTCCAGATATAAAGCTGAGAGGAACCAGAACAATCACTACTTCTGGCAAGGATGACAGGAGCAGGCAAGCTGATAGAGAAACCAAATACACAGCAAACTTACTGAGGACCTACGCTTAGGCACACTAGCAGGTGCTTCGCATAATTCCTTTAACCTCCCACCCCACCTGCAGCCCCACATTCTGTTCCCAGAAAAGCAGAGAATGGGATCTCCTCCAAATTCTCTTATAGGGCCTAAAATGTCACCAGAGAGGGTGATTTAGGTTAGCAAGCTAACACTACTAGGAAGATGAAGAGGAAGCTTGTTTAGTGCTGTTTCCCTTGCTTCCTATCTTATCTGACCCATAAGAGGATATAGGGTCCCCCATTTTCCTGTGGGTCTGTCCAAACCTATTCAGCCCTTACAGCTCAGGCTAAGCCCAGCCTCTCTGAGACAGCATCCCTATTCACTGCAGCTCTTCTTTTTCCTATTTCACTTACTGTCAAGGACATTCATCTGAGTACATAGTCATTCACTTTGTGTCACCTTGCAATTAATTTCTTAGGTTAATGCTTATCTCCTCAGTGAGACGGCAAGCTTCTTAACTACACAAATCTTGTCTTACTCTTCTTTAGTAACCCTCATAAGGTCTAGCACCTTTTTTAAAAAAAGTTCTGTAAGTATCCGGATGAATTAAAGTTAAGTAGGAAGGCAGTACATGATAGAAAGGAATCAAATTTCTGATTTTAGGTAGACGAGTTGGTGTTGAAAAGAAGTTTGCCTTTAATTATACTTCTGAGCTAATTTTTAAAACAAATTTCCCTATGAAAAAGAAAGTGTGACTCTCTTTCAGGATACAGTAGACATCTTTGGATGGAAGTCTGAGACATTTGGATCAGAGCTACAAGACATACAGTGCTAAAAATAGAAGAGCTTCCAGTTATATAAGAAAACACATATCTATAATGTCTGAAAGAGTCCTCAAGACCAGAGTGCAAATCCAATTAAATAGTATTAGAGAGGGTCACTAACCCTTGGCCCAAGGGAATAAAGAAAACCTGAAGGCTTTCCCTGAATGAATGACAATGCAAGTCTCACTCTACTGTCAGCTTCTCAAGTTCAATGAGAATGACCTGGTTCTGGTGGTATAAGTCTGGATTTGGTTTGAGAAAAGTCAGAAACAAGCCTGAATCAATTTCAACAGCAAGTATTTGGGGCTGTGAGTTACCCCACCACTCAAGGAAGAACAGGCTTAAAAAGCAAATATCATACATATAGCTGAAAGGTGTCTGACCACAGTGAATACTAAAGCTTCCTGTTTAAACATAAACTATCAGAGTTCAGTCTGGAAGATATAAATCGGAGCTGCTCTAGACTACTCCTTATCTAGTAATTCTGACCAGAAGAATGTCATCTATTCTTAGAGCTCAAAAGGCATTCAGCTTCTTAAACTCATTTATTTCTGGACCTCAATGCTAACTAGATTGTTGGCTTAGACAAGTAATACTAGTTGGGTAAGCATGTTCAGTGAGATACACAGGACAGTCTCTCCCTTCTCTGGTTTCCAAATGTCCAGCCCCAGAATTCTTTCAGCCATTGGAACTCTCTGCTAAAAATCAGACTAAAGAACTATGTCAAATTAAACTGCATCTAGAATCCTAGGCCTTCAGTGCTCTTCTATTAAAACGTTTTGATAATCAGGTTTAGGTCTTCACCTTTCATTGTATTCAAAAGACTACAATGCTATTCATAAAGATCCTTAAAAATGATGACAAAATATTTGACCTAGTATTTCACTATTGGGAGCAGTAACAGCAGCTAAAAGTTCTTAAGTACTTACTATGTGCTAGGCACTGTATGAGGCATTTTCCTTAAAATATCTCCTTTAACCTCACAAAACCCAAGTAAGGCCATTACTACTATTACTTGACAGATGCATAAAGGGAAGCTTAGAAACTAGCACAGGGTCACACACTAGCGAAAGAGGTGAGATTCAACCTCAGATTAACTGAAATCTAGATCCCATCTTTTTTACTACCACCCAAACTAGAAATACATCATTGGAAAATGACCCCAAAATACAGCAACAACTTTAAGCACAAGAAGCTCAGTGCTAGGTACATGGCAACTTGCAACATTCTAAACACAGTTAAGTAAATAGAGGCAATTCGAATTACAAAATATTACATAGGCATTAAAAATATTTTTATACCTAACTTTTAGTGACTCATGAAGGAAATTTTATGCTTTAAATAGAAAAAGTATAATACAAAATGTTATATATAGTCTGATCTCAACTATGTAAAAATTACCTGCACATGGAAAGACCTAAATTTATTGCTAAATTTAAAAAGACAAGTTGCAGATATACACACACACATATATAAATAAATAAATATATATATGGCATGGCCCTACCTATGTAAGTAGCACCTGAGTCATTTTAAGTAGTCAATAAATGTAAGCCATTATTATTATTATTATTATTATTATTATTATTACTACTACTACTACGCTGGTAATCACTACTACTACTACTACTACTTCATAATCAGAAAAAAATCAACAAATTTATTTAAATTATAAGTTTTGGTATTTCCTTATTTAATACATAAGAAATGTATTGCTTCAGAAAAATTAAATAACACATACCTTTCCCAAAAATCTTACAAAATACCTCACAATTTCAGATTAAATACCTCTAACTTATGGGAATCAAGTAGCACTGAGAAAAACATTGCAACACTACCAATCATGTAAGGTATGGTTACATCAGTATGTTATATGACAGAAAACTGTACCGATGCTATTATACTTGGAATTTGAGGTCACAGAAAAGCAAGATCAAGAGTGGTACTTCAAGGGCCAATATCTCACACTGCACCAAAACTAAGGCTTTTAACCTCACAAAAAACAAAACGTTTTTGGTGCACTCTTCAATAAGAGATAACCAATAATGCCCTGGCCAGTGTGGTTCAGTGGGTAGAGTGTTGGCCCATGCACCGAAGGCATGCGGGTTCGATTCCCCATCAAGGGCACATACCTCGGTTGCAGGTTCAATCCCTGGCACAGTCGGGGCGCATGCAGGAGGCAACCAATCGATGTGTCTCTTTCACACAGTTGTTTCTCTCCCGCACCCACCCCCAACCCCCCGTAAAAATCAATGGGAAAAATATCCTCTAGTGAAGATTAACCAAAAATTTAAAAATTTTTTAAAATAACCAATAGCTCCAGGGTGATGCAGCAGAGACATGTAGCACATGAATGAAAATTAGAAGTATTTTTCAGCTGCTGTCTTTAGGTAGAATTTACTTACAAACACACATACACACACAAAGACCCACAAGGTACTTATTTTGAATTGAAAACGGGCAGCTCTAGAAAATTAGTTCCTCAAGTTCCATAGGAATCTCAATATTTGAATATATAAATTGAAATGCAAAGTCCATGGCATTGCACTGAATCTGGGCAAAGAGCAAGTTGAAACATTAAAATGATAAAAGATTTTCCCCTTCCCCTTCTCCTCAGTTATGTGCCACAAAATAACATACCTGCCAAAGTAATAAAGAACATGAAAAGTACTAAAAATTTAACTAGATATAAATCAAAACAAAAAACAACTGGAACTTTGAAGAACTCTCTTTTCTGCACTGTACTGTATAAAATTACAAAACCATCACACAGACAGGTAAGTCCTTACCTGTATCTTGCCCCACCAGCCCATTGCAGTACATAGCATGTCGCTCAATCTTTGTGGGTGGGAAGCCTTGGTCACATAGTGGGCAGGATACCTTGGTGCTGGATGAGAAGGTAGAAGAAGGTATTTCTTTCTCAGCATCTTCCCTGTTACCAACCTAAAGAATATGACAAGCAGCAACTGTAACAGCTTTACTTTAAAAAATAATTTTCCCCCAAAGAACTGCAAGAAACTCTATCCATACTTCATTTACTTTCAAAGAGACAATACCAATCAGTTTGCAAATTCAGGACTGAGGATTGACAGATATGATAACATAGTTAACACTTATTCAGTGCCTGCCCACTATGTGCTAAGTACTCTGCATATATCATTTATTTAATCCTCACATACCCTTTTTACAAATGAGAAAAGCATTGTCCAAAACAGTAAAGCAAATTGCCCAAAGTTACAGAACAAATAAGTGGCAGAACTAAAATTCAAACCAAGGACTATTTGGCTCCAAAAACTGAGGGCATTCCTCTCTACCGTGCTGCAAGGCACTGTTCTCCTTGGGTCAGTATACTCTGTGTGCAGTGTTTCAACAGTGTCTAGCAACAGCACCTTAAAGACACTTTTTCAATCTCACAAAAGAACTGTGACACTGTACATGATGAAACATATATAAGGAGTTAGAAAACAAAAGAGCTCTAAGCAAAAGAAGCACAACTAAAATTTAAGAACCTAGGTCTCAGCTTACACCAGTAAGACACACCACCTCTCGTGCTTTATTTATGACTTTTGGATTGAAAGAAGAAATAAAACTAAGACCCAAATATTTAAGAGGACCAAAGGAAAGTCATTAAGACAATTCTGCTGAAGCCATTCTTATACCTTATCTCTCTTATTCCTCTCCTTGTTCTATAGTCATCATTTTTCCAACAGTTGCTGGTGTCTCTCAGAGGCAGCTTTATTTTACCTTTACAGGTCAGAACTGAGAACTCTGCAGTGATTAATTCAACAGTATGCGTAAGCACTGCAGCACTACTGCCTAATACTTGCTTCAAAGGACAGCATGTCCTGTCCAATCAATGTGAAACTGTCCTGCATAGCCACTGCTTCTATTTAAGAGCAAGGAGCACCTGGGCTGTCATTATGCTTTACTACAGGGAAAAAATAAACCATCTTCTAGTACAAGAACAAAACAGGACCAAAACTGCAATGGGTGGATAATTTGAGCTCTGAAACAACTGGGTCTGGGGGAGGAGAGGGTTGTCTCTAAGTTTAGGCCATCCCTGAAATCTACTGCTTGTGAATGTGATCCAGCAGAGAGGGAAACAAGTCATCTAAATTCCAAGTCAAACAGTTTCTACAATTGCCAAAATACGTTGTTTTCGACACACGTGTTTTGTACTTAAGAAGATATGCTCTAAAAGGGAAAAAAAGAAAGACAAGAAAGGAACTAACAGTGGTTGAGTTCCTATACTACGCCAGGCCTAGCCAAGCAATTTCCGTTTCCATCCATCACAACAACCCAACTGGTAAAGGTATCACTAGTTCCAGTATTACAGAAGAGGAAATTGAGGCTTGGAAAGACAAAATAACCTACTGATCACAAAGCTAGTAAGTAGGCAACCTAGACTCAAACCCAGGCCTGTATGACATCAAACCTTGAGTATTTCCATCCCATCATGGTATGGCAAAAGCAAAAGTGACCCCCTTCCACTTTGCTTCTGGAAGCCGACTCTGCCAGGTACTGGGAGACCACACGATTCTATTCCTTTTCTCTAGGAGGTGGGTCTATAAGTTCTAGGTGTTATTTATCCCAAGCTTAGTCACTGAGCTTTTTATGAATCCAGGTTTTTCTGTTCATAAATTTTACAATGAAAAGTCATCTTGTGCATGCAAAGCCATTTGAGTATAGGGGAGAAAATAATCTAAGATTTTTTCCAGCACCATTAAAATGGTCTATTTAAATAATAACTATAATGGAGGAACCTCAAGCAGAAAACAACAACAACAAGCAGCCCTGACCAGTGTGGTGCACCGAAAGGTCACAGTTTTGATTTCCTGTCAAGGGCACGTACCTGGGTTGCAGGTGTGATCTCTGGCCCCAGTCAGGTCGCATGGGAGACAACCAATCAATGTGTCTCTCTCAAATCAATGTTCCTCTCTTTCTCTCTCTCCCCTCACCTCCCTCCCTCTTCTACTCTCTCTAAAAATCAATGCAAAAAATATCCTCCGGTGAGGATTAACAACAACAAAAAACAAGCAAAGCAACTTTTATTAGGACCACACAGTCAGGGATTAAGTCTGCAGAACTGCTTCTATTTCTTTTAAAATACTATACAGCCACTTTTCAAAAGAGGCAGTTGGACACCAAATCTTGATCTCATAAAGGTCTCTTACCTTCTGGCCTCAAAAGAAACTGCACTTCAAGCAATGAACCTAATGAAAACAAAAGTATGTCCTACAAATCACCAACTCCCTGCCCTTCCCTACCTGTTTCATGTGTAGCTAAGAAAGCTGTCCCTTTAGTTATTTTCCCTCTTGTCATAGGTCTCTTAACACAATTTATTTAAAAACCAACTGACTAAACCAACTATTTGTTTATGAATAATATCCATTAACTCTTCTGAAAACAGATTATCTGAGACTCTAACTAAGGGAAACTCTCAGGCAAGATATTCAGAAAACATTATTTCCAAAGGAACCTGACCACTGCAGGAAATCAAATTAAGAGGAATTACAGTTCTGCCACAAGTATTCCAAATGCCTCAAATACTGTTGAGCAATTCTGTCATTAATAAAATAATATCAATGAACAGCCACAATACATTACAAAGCAGTAAAATAACTGGTTCCACATACATACTTCTACTTCTGCCAAATCTCTACTGTGTGTCTTATATTCTTCATCTAATTTAATCTTCAGAGAAAGCTAGTGAATGTCTCCATTTTACACATGAAAAACTGGAATTCAGAAAAGCATTCCTCTTGTATGTTCCCCTAATGCCCTACGCATATCTCCATCATTATATTTGTCAGACCACGTTATAATTATAATTTTCTGTTTATGTGTCTATCTCTTCCCTTAATAGGACTCTCTGAAGACACAGACTGTTTTTTCCTTATTCATTTTAATGTCTCAAGAGTCTAAAACAATGACAGGATTCCAGCATACTAATTATAAATATCTGCTACATAAATGAATAAAATGATTAATTAAATAATTTACTGAAGGTCACAAAGTTAAGTGGTGGGATTGGTATTCAAAATCATGTCTTCCAATTCCAATGCTGAAGCTACACTAGCACAATACCATTATCACCTTCCAACAAACAGGAAATCTTAGGACAAATGATCCTATACACAGATTCCAAGGGCAAGAATCCACACCCACTATATTATCTTTGTGTACGTAAAATGTACACATTATATCTTTCTAGTAAGTGACTTATAACTAGTAAGTGATTACTCAACAACTGAAACACTACAGTATCTCAAAGTAGAGACATCCATTGATATCAGCAAACAGCAACTGGAAAGGAGGACATTCAATGTGAGAAAGGCCATACAATTACATCCATTTGATGTGTAGTGGTGCAGACATATAAACTATACATTCTAAATAGGGTTCATGCTCTTTGCACCAAACACAGAACAGTCTCCTTTGCAGTCATGGATGGGTAAGAAGTCAGCCTTGATTAATTAAAGGTTTGCAGGGCTTTTTCTATACCTTAAGATGACTGTGTTAATAATACTCTGGTCCCCCATCTCCATTTAGAATGCTCTGGTCCCTCCTTAGAAAAAAGACCTGAGGCCATTTTGACATTATCTAGTAAGATCTGTCCTTAGTTGCTCTGCTGCAGGGAGTGTCATCATCTTTCCTACCACCACTGGTATCAGGGAATCTTGGTCTGTCAGTTGTGACAAATCAGGTTCCAGGGAACGAAGCAGTGTGCATGATTCAGGAAAGCAGAATTTCTACCCAGTTACCTGCAGTGCAGAAACTAGGGAGGGGATCTAACTTCTACTGTAAAAACTGTTTTCAAAAAAACCTAGAATATAAAAAGGAGTAAGAGAATGAAGCCTTTTTAAGGTACTCAGGATAAGAGTATACATAAATATAAACAAAATCTTTATTTCCACAGAAAAATTAGTTTAATTCTCAGGATGCTTTTCACATCAACAGATTTTAAAGACTTTAAATTCTTCAAAAGAATTCTTGGTAACTAAATAGACTCAAATATGTAAAATATACACTGAGAATCTTTATCAGAAGTATGAATTTGGACTTCAGGTCAAGATGGCCGTGTAGGTAAAAGTAGTGTTCGCATCCTCCTACAACTATATCAAAATTGCAACTAAACTAGAGAACAACCATCATTCAGACCACCTAAAATCAAACTGAATGGAAGTCCTACGACTAGGGATTTAAAAAAGCCACATCAAGACTGTCAAGAGAGGCAGAGATGCAGAAATGGCTGGTCCCACACCCACATGTAGCATATAAAAATTGGGAGGGGTATCTCAGCTGAGGAAGTCCCCCCTGAGGAGGGGTCCCAGCCCCATGCTAGTCCCCCAACCCCAGGGTTCTAGTGCTAGGAAGAAAAGTCCCCATAACTTCTGACTGTAAAAACCAGCAAAAACGAGATGGAGTGATAACCGAGGGCTTCTGGAGTCCCAGGCAGTTCCTCTTAAAGGATCCACACAAGGACTTACTCCAGTTCACTCTTTCTGAACACTGGCACTGGGATAGCAGCTCCAAAGGCACCAGGGACATACGAGGAGGAACTGAAGTGTCTGACATCAGGACAAGAACTGCGGGAACAGCTTTCTCCCAGAAAAGTGCTGGCAGAGGCCATTGTTCCTTTGATGAGCCATCCCCCCCATAGAGACAGGAGCCATATCCGAGTCTCCATCAACCTGGTGACCACTGTTTGCCCAGCCCTGGTGATTCCAAGGCCCTGCCCCACCAAACTGTCTCCAGTGCCTTTTCCATATGAACAGCCTATGTTGGTTCATGCTTCATACTTTCCTAAAATCTCTCAAACAAGCAGCATCTGGTCTCAGCATGCCCCATATCTCTCACTAAGTGGCCCCAGGCCCAGCATTAGCAGCAGCTGGCTATGATTTGCAGCTTGGCCTCTCCTCGGCACCTCCAAGCCCAGCACAAGTAGCAGGCAGCTGCAGATCACTTTATAACTCAAGCTGGGTGACCTTCGGCAGAAAAAGTGGCGGCTGATTTTAGGCAAAGCCAACGCACCTGGTGGACAATTTCAGGCCACGTTGAAACACCATCCAACCACATCCACAGTGACACACCCAAGACTCAAGGAATGGGCTCAGCAAGCACCAGAGCCCCACTGAAGGAAGTCCTGCTCTGTGTGTGTGGGGGGGGGGGCTGCACAGCTGACCCTCCATGGTGGTCATGGCCAGTCCTTGCATTGAGTCTGCCTGGGGGTAAATCTCTCCCATTGATGTGCCAACAGCAATCAAAGCTCAACAAAAACACGAGGGTGTACACACCCACACAGGGCAAGGGGTTGGGGGAGACACACCTGGAGTGCCCAGCTAGGGTGATCAAGGAGATCTGTGCCATTGGACCCTACAAAACACCTACTACATTAGGCCACTCTACCAAGCCCAGGAGATGTAGCCACTCTACCTAATACATAGAAACAAACACAAGGAGGCTGCCACAATGAGGAGACAAAGAAACGTCCCAAATGAAAAAACAGAAAAAATCTCCAGAAAAAGAACTAAATGAAATGGAGGCAAGCAAACTACCAGATACAGAGTTCAAAACAATAGTTTTAAGAATGCTCAAGGAACTTAGGGGAGTATTAGGTAAACTTAGAGAAAACTTCAAGAGTAAAAAAAAAACATAGAAATCATAAAAAGGACATGGAAAACATAAAAAAGAACCAGTCAGAAATGAAGGATACACTAACTGAAAGGAAGAATAATTTACAGGGAATCAACAGTTGAGTAGATGAAGCTGAGAAGTAAACCAGCGATTTGTAATATAAGGAAGCAAAAACACCCAATCAGAATAGCAAAAAGGAAAAAGAATTCAAAAAATGAAAACAGTGTAAGGAGTCTCTGGGACAACTTCAAGCATACCAATATCCATATCATGGGGATTCCAGAAGGAGAAGAGAGAGTGCAAGACATTGAAAACCGATTTGAAAACGTAATGACAGAAAACATCCCTAACCTGGTGAAGGAAATAGACATACAAGTCCAGGAAGCACAGAGTCCCAAACAAGATGAACACAGGTGCACACACTAAGACATATTATAATTAAAACGCGAAAGGTGAAAGACAAAGAGAGAATCTTAAAAGCAGCAAGAGAAAAGCAGTTAGTTACCTATAAGGGAGCATCCATAATACTGTCAGCTGATTTTTCAACAGATACTTTGCAGGCCAGAAGGGATTGGCAAGAAATATTCAAAGTGATGAAATGCAAGGATCTACAACTAAGATTACTTTACCCAGCAAAGCTATCATTTAGAATCAAAGGACATGTAAAGAGCTTGCCAGAGAAAAAGCTAAAGGAATTCATCACCACCAAACCAGTATTATATGAAATGTTAAAGTGTCTTCCTTAAGAAGAAGAAAAAAAGGTCAAAAATCTGAACAATAAAATACCAATAAATACATATCTATCAACAATTGAATCGAAAAAACAAAAACACAAAATAAGCAAACAAGCAGAACAGAAAGAGACTCATAGATACAGAGAACATTTTGATGGTTGCCAGATGGGAGGAAGGTTGGGGAGATGGGTGAAAAATGTGAAGGGATTAAGAAGTACAAAATGGTTGTTACAGAACAGTCATGGGGANGGGAGGAACGTTGGGGAGATGGGTGAAAAATGTGAAGGGATTAAGAAGTACAAAATGGTTGTTACAGAACAGTCATGGGGATGTAAAGTACAGCACAGGAAACACAATGTTCTAATGTATGGTGTCAGATGGGCACAAGATTTATAAGGATGATCATTTAGTAAGTTAGATAATGTCTAATCACTGGGTGTACACCTGAAACTAATATTGTATGTATGTCAACTGTAATTGAAAAATAAAAAATGATTTAAATTTTTTTTAAAAAGAAGTATGAACTTGTATCAATCAGGTTTGTAGTTAATGCCAGATATGTGAAGTTTGTAAGGCAATACTACAAATAGAGATTTGCTTATTTTATCACACTGCTATTCTGACTTTGCATTTCTGATCACATTAAGAAATCAGGGCCCGGGCGTGGCTCAGCGGTTCAGTATCAATCTAGGATCCAGGAGATCGAAGTTCAATTCCCGGTCAGGGCACACGCCCAGGTTTCAGGTTCGATCCCCAGTGAGGGGCGTGCAGAAGGCAGCCCATCAATGACTCTCTCATCACTGATGTTTCCATCTCTCTCTCCCTCTCCTTTCCTCTCTCTGAAATCAATAAAGATATATTTTTTTTAAAAAGACAGAAAGAAATCAGGGCTGAAACTTAGTTATATCATAATATATATAACGACTATTTCCAAGATTGTTCATCTCTGTTACTCATCAATATATAATGGAAAATACCCCGGATTTTAGAAATAAATCTGTGTTCAAATTCTAGTTCTATCATTATTAGCAGTTTGAATTTGAACCAACTACTTAAACATCCTAAGCCTCCATTTTCCCATCTGTAATAGAAATAATAAACCATGTTAAAGTACTCAAGAAATGGTAACTACTGTTATTTTTATTTTTTATTTTTATTTACTTTATTGTTGGAAATATTACAGATGTCCCCTTTCTTTCCTCGTTGGTCCCCTCCACCTGGCACCTGCCCCTACCCCAGGCCTTCACCGAACTATTGTCCGTGTCAATGGGTTATGCATATATGCATATAAGTTCTCTGGTTAATCTCTTCCCACCCCCACCCCTTCCCTCTGAGGTTATCAGTCTGTCACTACTGTTTTTAGAAACAATGCTGAACTGATCTTAACTATAAGAACCCCTCTCTGAGATAAGTGTCCTAAAAGCTACAACCCCCCGTCACCTAAGTCTTTCTACCAAGGTCAATATAGCATCAGACAGAGGACGATCAATAGAAAAAGAACACTGAGAAAAATTAAACAGAATATTCACCTCCTCATCTGCCATTATTATTGTTACTTCATCTGGGGTGTCTCTGCTACCTGGAGAGGCTTCTCTTTCAAGGTCAAAAGTTTCAGGGGAACTTAGCTGTGTCTCTGTAATTGAAAAAATATAAATCTCATTAATTTTCATTTTGTATTTTCACAGTTGAAAAAACAAACACCTATTTCCCCTAAAGGGTATGATAAAACCGCGGTGGCCACGTACATCCAGTTTGCTTGTTTCTTCTTACAGCTTTACGGAGGCATAATTTACATACAATAGAATTCAGCAATTTTCTGTAGAGTAAAACCTCGATATAACAGACTAATTCAGGCAACGGGGTGTCTATTAAAGCTGAAAGTCCATTATATTGTAAGTAGGTTTTCTGAATGTTAAAAAATTGACAAATTAGTTTACCTGTTTTTACTTATGTAGACACATTTGTGTAATTAAAATTAAGCATGTATAAAAGTTTAATTTCACAGAAAAGTTTTCTATATATAATTTTAAATTTACACTGAATAGGTCTAGGAAATGCATGTATTCACCAGTCACCAAGAGTAAACAAATGCACATGGCTGGGACATGGGTTATCGAACATCAGAACATTGGCATTAGTTAAAACTGCTAAAGGAAGTCACATGACAACAGAACCAATTACATGAGGTGTGATCACATGCCAATCATTCCCCGAACATTGTTTGTGAGTGGCAACTCTTGGATTTAAATACAGTGGTACCTCAGTTTTCGAACGTCTCCATTGACGAACATTTCAGTTTATGAACACCATAAATCCAGAAGTAAACCCTTCGGTTTTCGAACATGTCTCGGAAGTCAAACATGCTACATGGCTTCTGCTGAGGGCAAGACTCTGAGGCCTAGCTGTCGGCTGTTGATCCCTCAGTTTTCAAACATTTCAGAACTCAGTCTTCCAGAACGGATTACATTTGAAAACTGAGGTACCACTGTATGTAGACTATAGTTGTAGATATGTAATATTTATTTATGTCAGCAAAATTACTAGTGTTTTTTCCAACATATGGTCTATTTAATAAAATGTTAAAAATAACAATGAACTAAGAAAAAAATGACCTGTTAACTTAATTGTAAGCAAATCTTGGTTAATAAAAGCATTTGAAAATTAACAGGGTGTTGATTTTCACACATGACATATGGACTGGAAATTCTGCCCATTAAATCTGAAGTCTGTTAGATCAAGGTCCGCAAAATCGATGGTTTACTGCATAGAATTTGATGAGTTTTGACAAATATATAAAATTTATACATGTATCAGTTATACCATATAATTACCACCACAACCAAGATATAAAACCTTTCTAACACCCCCAAAAATTCTCCCTTTCTATCACCCCAAAAGTGTACCCCTTTGTGCTCAATCCTCTCCCACTTGGCTCCTTGCAATCACCAGTCTACTTTACGTCGCTGTAGTTTTGCTTTTTCTAGATGTTACATGGTATGTCGTCTTTTGTGTCTGATTTCTTTCATTTAGTATAGTAATCCACTGTATGGATATTTCAGTTTGTTTATCCATTCATCAATTAATCCACTTGGCTTCTTTCCAGCATAGTTGTGCTTTTAAAGTATATTTATTTTGACAGAAAACAAAATCCTGCCAATGTTAGTTCTGAGGTAAAGGATGATTAGAGATGACAAAAATTTGGAAGCAGAAATAGAAAATACATTCTGAACAAAGATATGCCTTTCTTTAATATATTCTTTAAACAGCATCTATTCATTCAACACTAATTCAACAAATATTTATTCAACAAGTTCCAGGCACTGTACAAATTACTGGAAATATGGAGATGAAAGATGAGGTCCCTCTTAGTGTCACAATTCAGGGTTCAGCATACCATCTAGCTCATGGGCTAAACCCAGCCAGCTGCCTGGTTTTGTTAATAAATACTTAGTTGAACACAGCCATGTTCATTCTTCTTTGTATTGTCTATGGTTGCTTTTGTGCTAAAATGGCAGAGTTGAATTTCAACAAAAACTGTATGGCCCACAAAGCCTAAATATTTACTATCTAGCCTGTTATAGAACAAGTTTGCCAACCTCTGGTATAGCCCCCTATTTCTTAATGTAACAAAAGAACAGTAACTATATTTCAAAGAAGGACAATAAATCTGGAAAAGAAATTTATCTCAGAACACAAATCCAGTAAGTTCTGTGATCTACACTATACACATTATACATCTAACTTGTACTTCTGTGCTTCTCAAATAAAATAAATTGCAAATGTTGAGCAAATAAAGAACCAACAAGATACTGAGATATCTTCTCAATCATCAAAAAAGGATTAAATACATTTCTAGTGTTATATATATATATTTTAAATATATCTTTATTGATTTCAGAGAGAAGAAAGGAGAGGAAGAGAGAGAGATAGAAACATCAATGATGAGAGAGTCACTGATCGAGCCCACAACCCAGGCATGTGCCCTGACCGGGAATCAAACCCCTGTCACCTGCATCCCAGGTCGACGCTCAACCGCGGAGCCACACCCGGCCGGGCATGTTTAATATATTTTAATAAATCACAATTTTTTGAAAATTGGATACACACACATACAAAATTTTACCACCTTGTTGAAAAAGGGATTACAGTACATAAACTTCAAATTTTTTGTCAAGTTTCCCTGAGAAATATTACCAAAAGAGACATTCAGTCTATCAGAAAATAACTGCTCACTGCTTACATTACAGTAATAATAAAGTCTTTAAGCTTTCTGTAAATGGCTGAAATGTTCAACTGTAAAAGCAACTTAAGAGGGCATTAGCTCCTTAGAAATAAACAAAGCTAGTGTCATGCACAATGTGGACATAAAGCTATAAATCTGCTTCTTCAACAAAGTGAGTAACTCTAAACGGATGCTATAATTTTCAATATCAGGACTATCAGAAATCTGTAAAATGAAATAAGATGGACTACTATACCCAATCTGTGTTTCGCCCATTTAGAACAAAGTTTTCAGGCAATTTAAATGCACAGCTTTTAAATTATATATTTAGAAGAATTATATATATATTTAGAGACTCAGGAGTCTGACTCCATGAAGAAGGGGTTATACTTTCTTAGCAAAAGGAACAGGTTATGAAAACCTTTTGTGATTTCATTTAAAAGTGGCTGTGTCAGCAAACAGCTGGACTTAATTAGCAGGCTAGTGACAAGTCATGATCTAAGTTATCTAACCTCAGTCATAAAGGGCTTGCTTTTTCCTCTCTTATTAACCAGGGCTTTCAAGATTATTGTATTTGCAGGTTTCTCCTGTGAGATCCCAGGGTGATGTCACATGCCATCAACCTAAAGAGACAGACTGAGTGAGTGACTCTGAGCAGAATGGCATAAGTCAGAAGTCCTAAACAGAGAGGGGGGGTAAAGCTTTCTTTTCACAGAGATAGCACAACATTCCTAAGTGCTCCTGCCAAAACTGGAGCACTTGATAGTGGGGCTTCTTAGTAGTCAATAATCCAAAAACATTTCAAACAAATTAAGAAACCACTTTCAATAAAAACCAACATAGAGCCCTGCCAGTGTGGCTCAGTGGACTGAGAGTCGTCCCATGCACCAATAGGTCCTTGGTCCGATTCCCAGTCAGGGCACATGTCCGGACTGCAGTCTCGATCCCCGGTAGGGGGTATACAGGAGGCAGCCGATCGATGTTGTTTCTCTCTCATCAATGTTTCTATCTCTCTCTTCCTCTCTCTCGAAAATCAATAAAAACATTTTTTTTTTTAAATCAACAGAGTCAAACTTTAAAATGAGTAAAAAAGATCTTAATGATATGCTGTCAAATGTTTAAAAATATTTACAGGACTAAAGAGTTTTCTTGATTTCTTTCAACTATTTTTCCACAAAAACTCAAACTTGGTTTACACTAGTCTTTCTGACCCTGACAGATTTTCCCAGGGGAAAACTAGATATGACTTATGATAATATTTGTACAACACTTGCTGCCCAAGAGTTTAAACATTAATAGGAAGTAATTCAATCTCACACAAATAAGGTTACTGATAAATACAATGGGCCCAACATTTAAGAAAAGCAAAAACAAAAAATACAAGCTAAAACAAATTGCTTACATATGTTAATTGTAGAGATGAAATGTGGTTCATAACACAAAATAATTCTTCATAGCACAGAATAATTCAACCCAAAAGTTCTCTTAGATCGTGGGACCCTAATCCATCTAAAATTATTTATATATCAAAATCTATGCATGTGCATCTTTGAATGAAGAGCTCTTGTATCTAAAGCAAGGTACACATATCTTTTCATCTTTATAATTAACAAAAATCAAAGTATAGAACTTAAACAGTTTAAGTATCTTGTCTGAGATTAAAAATATAAGTCAATGATAGAACTATGCACAAAATTCAATTTCTTGATTCCCTATGCAATGAGTGGCAATGTAAAACTAACTGGTAAAAGCCTCTGAGAAAAATCTGCTCAATGACAGGCAGATTTAAGGACAGCCCAACTCTGAGAATCCATAAACCAAAACCAACATAAAGTCCTCTTGGCTCTGAATGTACAATTGCATCCTATTCCTGATACTTTGCTGCCATCTCTGATGAGGCTGGTCAGCAAAGACGACAAACGAGCCATGTTAATTTCAAAACTCAAATATCTCTGAGAAATGGTTGAGAATCAGAGCCAATGTCTATTAAAAAAAAAAGTGTATGTGTGTGAATATGTATGGTATATACACATGTATGTGTGTGGTGATACACAAACACATCAATCACACATAAACATCCTGGGAGTGGGGTGGAAAAGTCAGGCAAATTAATAGCACAAAGACAGCTAGGGATCAGAAATTCAGTCAAATCACATGGGGTGCTTACCAGGACACACAGTGATTTCCTCTGCAGAACTCTCTGGCATAAGGACTAAGCTTCTCTTACTGGTCAAAGCAGCAATGCTGAAAAAGAACCAATCCCCAAATGAATTCCCAGTAAAATAAATCAGAACATAGCACCTAAAGCAATGGTAAGTCATTCACAAAGCCACAAGTAATCTGATACCTGCTGTCCAATACCAAAAAGGCTCAACAGGGAAGCAAGGAAACGGTAGTGAAAACTCCGGCCAAAAATAGGGGAAATAAACATGCTTACAAATTTGGTTCCAGTGAAATTCCTGAATGAAAAGAACCCCCTTTTAGAGTCTTCACAAAAGAAGGTTGAAGGGTAAGGACTATCTATGAATATCACAGAAGACAAAAACTGCATTCCAATATAAGGATGTCAAAGGTGTTTCAGAGCCTCCATCTCAGCCTTCCAAAAACTAGAGATTTGTAAACTCATGAGAGAAAATATGAAGATTCTCCTGACAACACACTAGCTTTTCCAGCACCTTGCTGTTAAATTTCTTCTTTATCTCAAGATGTGGCTTTGTAGGCAACAAAAATAAGATATAATTCCAAACTGGCGCAGCAAAAATCTGCCCACAAAATCTGAAAATCTCTTCTGAGAAAAACATAATTATGAATGGCTGTCCTCATCTGACCTCCTGGTTTACCCTGCCTCTTCATGGAGTGCAATCTCTTCTAACACAAGAACACATGGCTAAGAGATCTGAGCACCTGCTTCATAGAGCTTTATGATTAGTTTGATCAAGTTTACAAGAGGACACAAATCTTCACGTCAACCAAGAACCACAGAGAAAATAACCACTACTGATTTGTGATAAATAACTAAATCCTGATAGAAAACCACAAGTGATTTCTCTCTCTAACTAAAACATTTCATAGCATTTGTTATAAACCCAAACCAGACAGTTAACTCTGCTCTATTCAAAGGGTCCATCACAAAACAATTTGCTGACATTTATAAAATAGACTAATCAATTTGAAGTCAAACCACATTGCCTGCAGTTCCAACTCTCTCCTGGTGACAAAGCATATAATCGTTTATTAAAACCTACATCTGCTCTGCACAAGGCTCACTACAACAAAGCAAAGAGGCCTGCAGGAAGCAGAAGGCCTACTCCAGTTCAAATCACTTCCAAAACTGTCTTAACAGCAGGAGAATCAAACCAAAGCCATATTCTTCAACTCAGGAAGAAATACCTACTCCTATTAACCAAAAACCTAAGAACACCAACTAAATTACAGCAAATGGCAATTGGCCTTCTACTTCCATATGGGAGACAGAGTAAACCCCAAAGGTCAACTACCAGATAAAGGGAAAAGCTATTGGAAGCCTGATCCAGCTAATAATACAGTTTATAACCAATCACCTACTTATATATTAAAGTGAGAAGACCTAGGAAAGTAACCTCATCAATCAATCAGCAAAAATAATTAAGGAGGTAATACAAATAGTACCATTTAAGGGACAGATGAGATATAATCAGATGAAAAGTGGCACAGGATAGGGAGTGAGAGTGATACAGGTTGTGTGTGGCCTGAATAATATGAAGGCTTCAAAGAGGAGGTATGTCTTAAGAGCAGACTTAAAAGATGATATGGTTTAGATATTTGGGTAAAATAAGCATAAGCAGAGTAAACAAAGGGGATAGAACTAGAAGGAATGTAAAGAAATCAGGTTAGAGCCTTCACATTGGCTTAGGAAGCTAGCGGAGTGGTTAAGAGAAAAGCAGGATGTAACCACTGTTCAGAAACAGTGTAAATGGGATTTGTACTAGATGACAGGATTGGACAAGAAAACCAACAAAAAAAGCCCCAATATTTCTTCCACCCAAATACTCTAGGTTTATATGACATGCATATAGAAGACAATGATTTCTCCGAGTCTGTACTTGTAAAAGAGGTAAAAAAATCCCTGGCAAGCTGTCCCCCAAGTCTCACTCATGTGGTTCATCTCTCTTACTCTGGCACCATCAGAGGAGAATTCAGACCCATAACATATAATCTTACCTTTGTGAGGCAGGTTCAGAGTTTCCTTCTTCAGAAGTTTCCTCAGCAAATAGCCCTTGGGAAGACTGCAGAGAAATACATAACATCCTAAATACTGAGGCACAGATGAACTAGTTTCTCTTCCATTTTTTAAGAAAAAACTAATTGTTCAACATTACCACTCAGCAGTTAGCAATGTGAATAACATTTTACAGTGTCAGTAAGTTTCAGTAAAAAGAGCATATCCTGTGGAGTCAAAAGACTGAGATTTAAATGATGGGTGAATCACCTGTTAACTTTGTAATCTTGGGTAAGTCACATCTAAATCTGTTTCCTCATCTTAAAATGAGTATTAACTATTGCCTCACAGTGCTATAAGAATTGAACAAGATATGTCATGCACTTTGTAAATGCAAGATATAAATATGAATTGGTGAGTCAAGTGAATCATGATTTCAGAAAAGCATTATAAAGCTTTTGTTGTTGGAGGAGGAGATAGAAAAGTCCAGTTTTCATGGGAAATACTGAGTTGGGAAAAACACTGCAATCAATGAATGACATCTCTCTGGGCACAACAGAGTCATAACAGAGAACATCCCAAAAGGAAGGTTATAAAGATTCCTTTTACTAGAAATATAACAGATAGGGAGACTGGATAAGAAAAAGACTATTTTCTTTGATTAATGGTAGAGTTGTTGCAAATATCAACTCATTAAACGTAGGTGCACAGAAGAACACAGAAAAAGCAGCTACTGCTGACTTACGTGGACTTCTGAGGAAGTCCTGGGCTGTAAGGCTTCTTCCAATAGATGTAAAGCTACTGGCTGAAATTTAAACCGTCTCCTAGTAGGGTATAAATAACCTAAACAAGTTAGGCATCTCTCTACTACTCAGGTAAATGATGAAATATACTAAAAAACAGGAATCCCTTGTCAAAGGAAAGATAAAGCTGTACGATGATCAGTAATGTAGCCATTATGAAAAATAAGGGTTGAACAAACTGTCAGAAGTGCTAAATACAACAGCAATAAATACTTCACCTATTTGTTTGAATTCAGTAGTGACAAACCAGTTTCATTCCTGAAATCTCAAAAAAAATTAAATACTGACACCTAGTGTCCACTAAGCCTTGGGCTTCAGAAGCAATCAAGGCACTAAGAAGTTGTAAGATACCTCAACTTCTACATTTGGCTAAAGCATCTCTACCTTTCCCAGAGTAAGTTTTAAAATCTTTTTTAAAAAAAGATTATTGTGCACCTATTATATGCCATACCTATGACAATCACCTTTACTCCTAACAAGAACTTTTGAGGAAATGATTATTTTAGAAATGAGGGAAGTGAAACTTTGACAGGTTTGATAATTTGCCCAAAATCACAGACTTGGTCAAAAATGGAACTAGGACCTATCTAACTCCAAAATCCATGCTCTTATCACTACTGTTCTGTTGCTTCCTCAAATGATCTTCTTCCCAACCATTTTGAAATATCCCAAGAACGTCTTCATTTCAAGAAGTCATTTTAAATTTCTAAACTTGTACCTCAATAGCAGTAATCTGAAGACAGTGGTAAAGTGAGGTTCTTCCAGAATATGAAAATAACACAGTGAAACAAGCAAACAAAACTTGATTCAAATACCCAAATTTAATCAAGGTAGACTGGGAAGCATGATAGCAATATAACTTTAACTAAGGAAACTGTGGCCCAATCAAGACATAGCATTCTGCCTGAAGAAGTACATTCATGGGAAAAGGATAGTTCACACAAAAATCTACAAAAGAAAAATTCAAAGATCCAGAATCAAGCAGTGCCTTCAACACGATGGCCTGGGAAGTAAAAGTAAATAGACATATCATCTGGTCACCAAAGAAATGTCCTCTGTTGTTAGGCACTGGTAGCTTATCAAGTCTTTCCACAAACTAGTTAAATCATCTCTTAAAATTTCCATTTTCTGATTACTATTTCAGCTTTCCATATACCTCATCCTAGGAAGAGATACAGTAGATGATGGACCTGAGTATTCCAGTCACTAAAAATGTCTCTCTTCCATAATAAATTAACAAACTGTCATTTGGTGTTCGTGTCAGCTTGAAGTTTGGTTAGTCAAGTCAGTTATCATACCCCCACACAATTTGATCATTTCTGGTAAACAAATTCCAGTATCTGAACTGAAAAATTAAAGATCGGACACTGAAAAATAGTGATCACTTTAATATACTACCCTCCACCTCCCTGCTGTACAGTCACCAAGATAATCTCTCCATCTTCATTAATAATTTCCCTATTATCTCAGTGATGCCAGAAACCAGTTAATATCTGATTCTAAAACTTTTATAACCTTCATATAGACTAAGTAATCTGCCCTAGGGTGAACGTTTTTCTGAATCCCTACTTCTGGGACTGTCTTGCTATCTCTATCAACCAAATAGTCTCAAACGTGGGCAACTCCAGCAAAACCAAAATCAACAGAAAATATTTTTAAAAAACAAATTATTTCTACCCACAGTTCCTAAAAGCAAAAGACCAAGACAGGAGGTGAAATTACAATCATAACACTTTCACTATTTGCCTATACAATTAAAAAGATACTAATCTAGCCTGGCCAGCATGGCTCAGTAGTTGAGCATCAACCTGTGATCCAGGAAATCGCAGTTCGATTCCCAGTCACGCCACATGCTTGGGTTGTGGGCTCGATCCCCAGTGGGGAGTGCAGGAGGTAGCTGATCAATTGCTCTCTCATCATTGATGTTTCTATCTCTCCCTCTCCCCCCTCTCTCTGAAATCAATAAAGATATGTTCTTTTTTTAAAAAAGATACTATTCTATGTTGGCAGGGTTACAGTGCAGTAGGTATTCTGATACACTGCTGGAAGGAAGGAGTACAAATTTGAGCAATCTTTCTGAAAATCAATCTAGCAATAAGTAATAAATCTTTATGTTCATAATTTAACCCAGCATTTTTCTGGTACCCTATCCCTAAGGACACTAATTTTAAATAAAGAAAATTTTATTTAGAAAGATGTTTATCACAACCAAAATATCTAGCAATAGAAAAATATTTAAAATACAGTAAATTCATAAGCCAGATTAGTCATTAAAAATAAAATCTATAAATAATTTTAACATTATAAGAAAATGTTTACATGTTAACTTTAAAAGACAAAAATATGATCTAAACCATACAAAAAACAGCTATAGAAAAAAAGAAGGAATATATCACTAGATGGTAGAATTGTGGATGCTTTCGACTTTATTTTTTGTTTTTATTTTTTAATTGATTTCAGAATGAGGAAGGGTGAAGAAGAGAAATAGAAACACCAATGATGAGAGTCAATGATCAGCTGCCTCCTGCACGCCCCCGCTGGGGATCGAGCCCGCAACCTGGGCATGTGCCCTGACCGGGAATTGAACCTCAATCTCCTGGATCATAGGTCGATTCTCAACCACTGAACCAGGCGGGCTGGGCTCGACTTTATTCTTTTTTATCCTCACCCGAGGATATTTTTTCCATTGCTTTTCAGAGAGAGCAGAAGGGCGAGGAGGGAGAGAGACGCATCAATTGGTTGCCTCCCGCTCGAGTCCTGACTAGGGCTGGGGACTGAGCCTGCAACCAAGGCTAGTGCCCTTGGCTGGAATTGAATCTGAGACCATTCAGTCCGAGGGCCGATGCTCTAACAACTGAGCCAAACCGGCTAGGGCTCAACTTTATTCTTACAACTTTTGAACATTTTTCAATAGTTCTAAGTGATCTCTAAAATTAATTTAATGACTACACTGGATACTCACTAGACTGTCTGCCTGGTCTCCTTTTACTGAGGACTGCCCCTCACCCCAACCACTGCATTATAGCATCACAGCCATTTGTATAATTTGACACATACCCACTTCAGGCTGCAGCCAACTGTTCTGGTGAGGACTATTAACCTCAAATGGACCATAAGTTCCTTCCCTAGAAATCTGAGATTGCACCGGGAGAGAATAAATCTCCTATAATCTGTATTTAAGTTTGAGAGCTGTAGGACCAGTGTTTTCTACCTACCATGTAAAACAGAAAAGCAAAGGAAGACAGTCTGCAGGGGGGGAAATGAAGTAAATACAATATAGCATTGAGATACAGAAAAATTACATATGATTTTCTAGACTCAGTACCTTCTCCCAGCTTGGTTACCATCCTGTTTTAGAATTTATGAGGCACCATGTTTCTTTATGATAAAGTCCTCTTTTTAATTAAGATAGCTTGATTTTATTTGTTATAGCCAAATAGTCCCAATTAATACTATTTGTAGTATTTTGTGGTCTGTTCACGAAGTAAAAGAACTTCACTCTAATAAGGCCAGGCACTAGAGCCTGACCACGTCCACGCTATTCCAAAGGCACTGCTTTCAAACCTCAGAACTTGACAAGTCTATGCTCTAGAACTCTGGCCCCTGGAATCTCTCAAGCTAACAACTTGAATTATAATAAATCATTATAGAGCTAGTTTATTCTTTGAAGGGGAAGCATCTCTAAAATGCAAAAAACTAAGAAATGAAACATGTTATTATAAGCATAAGCTTTCATTTGGAAAAGAGTCAAGTCACTCGAAGTACTATTAAGAAAAATGCTTTCTCTTCACATACAGCAATCTTTCCATACGTGGATGAAGAGGATTCTAGGGAAGAATGATTCCCATAGGGACTCTCAAGGAATGACCTTCTGGTCCCTTGGAGAGAACCACCATTTACTGAATGTCCTAAGCATTATATTAGGCACTTAACTCATTTTAATCATTAAAACTACTGACTTGCTATTCCCATGTTACAGTTGTAAAAAATTTAGATTCAGAGTATTATATGGTTTGCTCAAGGGCACACAGTTACCAAAGCAAAAAAGTCAAAATTCAAACTTCAAATCCATACTCTGTACACTAAGCTATGAAATTGCTCATAGCTACCATTTCTTGAACCCTTATCATAAGAGAACAAATACGATAACAGCAAAACAAAACCAAAAACAGAAATAGCAACAAAAAACAATAAAGTCATAAAACAGAATACTCTATTTATAGTTTATAAATTTTGAAATTATATAATTGTTTTTATAATATTCAGAGAACAAAACTAAATATAAGCTTTCATACATAATACAATCTAGGTATGTCAGAAAAAACTAAAAATGCAACCTAAATGTCCCCAAACAAGGGGCTGTTTTCATTAAATTATAGGAAATTACCACAAGCAAAATTAGAAATAGACCATTATGGGGGAGGTTAAACTGGAAAACTATCTGTACTTCACATCACAAAGGACCAGTTCCCCTAATACATAAAGAATGCCTAGCCCGACCAGGCGTGACTCAGCGGTTGAGCGTCGACCTAGGATCCAGGCAATCGGGGTTCGATTCCAGGTCAGGGCACATGCCTGGGTTGTGGACTCGATCAATGACTCTCTTGTCGCTGATGTTTCTATCTCTCTCTCTCCCTCTCCTTTCCTCTCTCTGAAATCAATAAAGATATATTTAAAAAAATAAAATAAAATAAATAAAGAATGCCTACAAACCACTAAGAAAAAGATTCTCAAAAAGAAAAATGCCTGTAAGATCTAAACACAGAAAAGGAAATACAAATGAGTCTTAACTACACACATAATAAGAAAAATGCAAATTAAGGCTGCATTAAGAGAATATTTTTCATCTCTCAAGATTAAAAAAGATCAAGAAGCCCTAATACTACTGTATTGGTATGGGTATGGGGAAGCTTGTACTCATACATTGCAGTGAGTGTAGGTTTAGTCAACCTCTACCGATAGAAAATTTGACAACTGCTAACAAAACTGTAAATGCATATATATTTTGACCCACTAATTACATCTGCAACAAATTATTCTACAAATATCTCCCATGTGAATGAAACATCTCCTCTACAATAATCGCTGCAGTAGCTTTTGTAATAGTAAAATACTGGAAACAACCTAAATGTCCACCAATAGAAGCACTGGATAAAATAAAACTCATCCAGCCCTGACCAAGTAGCTCAGTTGGTTGGAGCGTCATCCTGAAACACCAAGCTTGCAGGTTCAATTCCCGATCAGGGCACATACAAGAAGCAACACATGAATGCAGAAATAAGTGGAACAACAAATTGATATCTCTCTCTCTCACACACAAATCAATAAATAAATTTTAAAAATAAAGCTTACCCATACATGGTGTATTACACATGCAAAAAAAAAGAGAGAGAAATTCCTTATGTACTGTTATGAAATGATCTGAGATATTAAGTGAAAAAAGCACAGTGCAGAAAAATATGTAGACAATGCTGTGATCTGTGTAAAGGAAGTTGCTTGTACTACATAAAATATCTTGAAAGGACACACTAGAAAACTAGTCATAAAGGTTCACTCCAGAGAGAGAAACTGATTGGCTGGGGATAAGGACCGAAGACATAGATGTTTTATTTACATCTTTTTAAATTTTGAGCCACATGAACATTGTTACCCATTCAAAAACTTAACTTCTTAAAAATAATATAAATTTTAAAACACAAAAGAATAAATTATGGTACATTCATATGATAAAATATTTTCAAATATAGCTAATAAATAGGAAAAGATCTAAGATAAACTATTAAGTAGGGGAAAGAAACAAAGCTTATACAGAAATTTTCATTTTGTTGAAAAATTAAACAGAAAAAGTATTTTTATATGCACAGAAATGATGACTGTCTCTCTAGGTGCTGGGATCATGAGTAATTTTTTCTTCTTTACAATCTTTTGTCCTTTCCTAATTTTCCATAGTGGGCATGTGTTTTGTTAAAAATAAGGGCGAATAGATCACAAAAAAGAATAGCTAAAATCTTTCTTTACTCTGTAAATAAATCATCCTTAATCACAGCATCACTGACCCTTACCTGACCATGACTGGTTGTTGGTTCTTCCTTCAACAAAAGTTTCTCTTTCAAGCTTTTAATTGGGCTTTCTTGGAAATCCTTGGTTTCTGAGTGCCAGACAGATGCCCTAGACTCCTGCCTCTCCTCCTCTTTGTCTTCATCTCCCATATCTTCTGAGATGCCTTCATTTTTTTCACTAGCCTGATCTCCTTGGCCACATTCATTCTGGATCAGAGAAGTAGGTCTAGGTAACACTGGTTCCCCAAATCCTTTTTTTTTAAAGAGCTGCCTCTGAGCCATTTTCAGGCTCTTTTGATAAACCTCCAATTGGCAGAGAATGACCTTGGTATACTGGTTAGGGTCTATTCCAGCTGGACAAAATGGAATACCCCAGAAGTAGTGCACAGTGCCCCCACTGTTCTGGAGACGTTTGGCATTTGCTGAGGCAGGCAGAGAGTGCCTAGATATGTCCCCCCTACCCTGGGCAGCTTCGTAAAAATCACATCCCCTCCCAGTACTTTCCTGTGGCTTCCCACACTGTGTGTGCTCAGCCAAGTGGCCAGTGCATCTGTCAAAACATTTAACGTTCTCATTCTCAACCACTGGCTGGCTTGACTGGTCCCAGCTTCCTGAGCTGCCAGAGACCGGCTCCTCTTCAGTGTTTTCAGTGTGGTCCCAAGGCTCCTCTCTTTCCTCAGCCTCGTTTCCCTGACTGATATGTGAGCCTTTAAACAGTGATGGAGGTACCAGCTGCCATATGCCTGTAGGTATTTGAGAAAAAGTAGGGCTAAGGACAAACTGTTTTTTATTAAGAGGGCTTGGTAAGTTCTCACTTACCAAGAACTACATAATGTGGGTAAAAAAGGCTCTTCTTTGGGTTTAACCAAATGTTGGCTTTTCCTTGGAGATAAAAGTATGCTGGATATTAGTGAGATCTCAACTACTTTCTGATTTAACCTCTTTAATACCACCAAAGAAATTTGGGGAACTTCTGTATATCTACTCTCAGCATGAGATCCCTGTGATATGGTTATACTTGATGAGTGCAAGGAGTCAGAACAGGGAGACATGCCTTCAGTGATCCCAAAGTCTGTGGTTTTCTCTTGGTGGGACTGTGAAGATGGTCCACTGGCCAGAGGTCGAGATCTCGTAGCAGAAGCATCAGAAGGCGGGCAACTCTGAAACAGTGATCCCACACCAGACCAGGTTTATTATTAAAATAGCTATACATGAAGGGTCACAGGAAGGGCAAAAAGGGGAGGCCACTGTCCCTAAGAGATTCTCGTCTTTAAAATGTACATGCTCTGGAACAGAATGAGGAATCTCAGAGGGAAGGCGGGGGTGGGGAAGTGGGTGGGGAGAGATTAATCAAAGAACTTATATGCATAAATGTATAACCCATGGACATAGACAACAGTATGGGGAAAGCCTGGGGGTGGGGCAGATGCAGGGTGGAGGGGGTCAATGGAGAGGGAATAAGGGGACATCTGTAATACTTTCAACAATAAAGATAAATTAAAAAATAAATAAAATGTAGATGCTCAATTCAAATGAATTCCACAATGCATACTGCATGCTTACTATGTACAAAGTACTGTCCTAGATCACTATACTAAACCCTTTTCTAATATAGAGAAGTACATGGCATAAATGGCTCAAGATCTGCCACTGGCAAATATCCTTCACATTTAAAATAATTTCAACTATGCATATTCAAATCACGATTTAACATTACTTTAAAATTTTTTAAGCTGCCTATTCTTTCTCTCCATAACCCACCTCTAGTTCTCCTTCTCTTTGCTCTCCACAAAACAGGAGAGGTAAGTTCTTTATCTTGCCCCTTTTGGTTTCTTGGTAATAGGCAATTCTTTTCAGAAGCTGCCAACTACTATGGTTCTCTTAAGCCATGGAATGAAAATCTGTGAGATGGAAAAAAACCCTTTCATATGGAATTAGCAAAACACTTCAAATGAGGTTTATCAACAATTCAACATTGGCCTTAAAAATTGTGTGAAATATTCATTAGTTGAAAACCCTATAAACTACTACAGCTAGTTTCTAATGCAAATAACACTGTAAAAGTAAAAGAATATTGCTTATCAATCCTCACAAACTTTTTCAACATAGCATATTTACATTCAGGCTTTCTGCAATGGCTTTCCTCAAGAGCTCCTCTTCTTCCTCCTCCTGGCTGTTCACTTCCCTAGCTTCCTGCTCACTCATTTTGAGAGCCAGAGCAAACTGTTCTTCTTCTGTCATTTCTGTAGGACAAGGAAAGAGAGGGGAGGGACACCACAAAAAATGAATAAGCATAAAGGCAAGGAATAGAGTTATTAAACTTTTCAAGTGAAGACACTACAGACCATTTAATATAATTTTATGATCTTATAAATGAAGAAAACCCCCAAAAGTAAGGTGTTAGCCAAGATCAGTAGCAAAAGTTCCAAGAACCCTGGGTCAACTAGACTGTGAGCTCCTATGAAGGCAGTTTTTGCCTATTTTGTTCCCCGTTTTCTTCAGCATACAGGGGTGGACAAAAGTAGGTTTACAATTATGAGTACATGAAAGTTTATTCTTTTATTATTCATTTACCAATTATTGTACTATTTATTATTATTATTAACCTACTTTTGTCCAACCCGTATAAAAGAATGCCTGGCAACTGGTAGACACTCAAATATTTGGTGCATGAATAAACAGAGGAACAGGCTTTCAGGGCTTTCTGCTACATATCACACTGCTTTACACTTGACATTTAACCAGAATAATTTACTCATCAGAATCCTCTTGGTGGGACTATTTACCCAATAGAAAAGACCATCCCTAATGACCAGAATGTGATCTCCAAACATCACTTCCCACTGGCCACAACTGGAGCATTAATGAATGCAATGAATTAAAACACATTAAACATGTTTAAATCTATGAGTTCATAATGATACTTTAAAAAAAACACAACTAACTGGTCATTGTTCAAGAACATTAGTGAATCAATTATTTTGAAAACTGGTAAATAAAAGGACAGAGAGCCCTAGCCAGTTTGGCTCAGGGGTTAGAGTGCAGGCCCTCAGACTGAAGTGTCCAGGGTTCAATTCTGGCCAAAGGCACAGCACGCATCTCGGCTGCAGGCTCATGCTGCAGGAGGCAACCAATCAAGTGTCTCTCTCACACTGATGTTTCTCTCTCTCCCCTCCCCCCCCACCACTCTCTCTAAAAAGCAATGGAAAAAATATCCTCAAGTGAGGATTAAAGAAAAAAACAAAAAGATAGAGAACTAAGTTTTTGTTTTACTCTTCCTACACAAGCCATATTACTGGGTAACCAAATAAAGAGAAGTTTCTCTTTAAAGAAGTATAGCAGCTAATAAAAATGTTTTTTAAAAAAATGATAGACCATCACTATTTTGTATAATGTTTACGGAGCGGATTTTGGCGATGTCTAACAAGTCACATATATGACCCAGTAATCCCAATTGTAGCAATTTTCTCTAAAGATATACTTCCAATTAAAATAAAGAACCCAGCCAGACATGGCTCAGTGGTTAAGCATCGACCTAGGATCGAGGAGGTCGAGGTTCAATTCCCGGTCAGGGCACATGCCCAGGTTGTGGGTTCGATCCCCAGTCGGGGTGTGCAGGAGGCAACCGATCAATGACTCTCTCATCATTGATGTTTCTATCTCTCTCTCTCTCTCCCTTCCTCTCTCTGAAATCAATAAAGATATATATTTTAAAAAGAAAGATAAATATGCAGTACATTTTTCATTGCAGCATTGTTTGAATTTGTGAAACACTGGAATCTACTTAATGATCAACATACGATATTCCCTGAATAAACTCTGGTATACATACATATAACTGTAAAAAAAAAAAAAAAGAATAAGAAAGATACCTATAGGATGGGAATATAATGATTTCAAGGATATAATATTAAGTTAAAAAAAAAAAAGCAAAGTACAAAACAGGGTATACATAGTATGCTACATCTTGTGTAACAAAGAGAAACAACAAAAATACATATACCTGCTCATTTTTTAAAATAGTGACACAAAAAGGATAAGTCAGAAACTAATCCAAGTGGTTACCTACAGGCAGTTGGGAACAAGGTGGAAGGGATAAGAGAGGGAGTGACACTTCTTTGACTAAACCTTTTTGCATGTCTTTGACTTATAAAATCATATAAATGTTATACATATTTTTAAAAAGTAAAATAAAATCTATAAGGATGGTAGATCCCTAAAATTGGATCCAAACATTAAAAAATGCACCCAACTGAATTTGAAATAACCTTAATGGGATGCACCTAATACAATGTTTACAGGAAAATGTATAACTTTACATGATGACATTAGAAAAGAAAATGTTTAAAATCTGATCCAAACCTCACACTTTTAAAAAATAGTGAAATTAACCCGAAGTAAGTAGAAAAAAATATAAAAAGCAGAAATCAACAAAATAGAAAATGGCATAAAACAGAGAAAAAATTTGAATAAAAAAATTGGTTCTATGCATAAAACTCCCAGAAAAAAACCGTAGGCAGTCAACTCTGGCATTGCTCTTAGTAATATTTTTTCTGACATATATCCTCCAGCAAGGGAACCAAAGAAAAAATAAACAAATGGGACTACATCAAACTAAAAAGGTTTTGCACAGCAAAGGAAACCATCGACAAAACAAAAAGACAATCTACTGACTGGGAGAAGATATTCACTCATCAATGATTCATCCAATAAGGGGTTAATATCCAAATTTATAAACAACTCATATAACTTAACACTAATAAAACCCAAACAATCCAATTAAAAAATGGGCAGAGGACCTAAATAGACATTTCTCCAAAGAGCACATACACATGGCTGCCAGACATATGAAAAGATACTCAGTATCACTAATCACCAGAGAAATTCAAATTAAACCACAATGAGCCCTGGCCAGTGTGGCTCAGTTGGTTGGGTGTCAACCCAAGCACCAAAAGGTCACCAGTTAGATTCTTGGTCAGGGCACATGACCAGGTTGTGGGCTCAATCCCCAGTAGGGGGCATGTAGGAGGCAGCAGATGGGTGTTCTCACATCGATGTTTCTCTCTCTTCCTCTCCTTTCCTCTCTCTCTAGAATCAATAAAAAAATTTCTTTTTAAAAAAACACTTTTGAAAGCAATAAGGCACTGTGCCATAACAGATGCACATTCTCAAAGTGATACCATATCTGACAATTTACCCTAAGCAATCACTGAAAAGAATAGTGCTATAAACAAAAAGATGTTCACCCACACTATTATCTTTAAGAGCACTGGCTTAAATGCCTAAAACAAGGCAATGATTAAGTAAATTATGGCATGTTAACTTAAGAGTTAACAAAGTGCTAACCATAAAGACATATAAAAATGATAGTCTGTAAAAGCCAAGTGAAAATATAATGAGGTCAACACACCAATTTCTGGTTCTACAAGTAAGTTTACAAGTTGCCACTCTGCCCTAATTAGTGGCAAGTACAAAGCTGAATAGACTGAAAAGTCAACAATTCTTGGATCCCTGAGAGGGGAGGACACAGGACAAACTTCTGCGCCTAAGAATGAGACACAGACAAGGAAATACAGGGAGTCATGGCTTATCAGAGCAAAGATTCAATACTGGAAACTGCCACAGAAGCCAGTGCTGGGGTAAGAAAACATAAACTGCAATTGAAAGATTACTGAAGGCTCAGTGTGGACAAGTTTAAGGTTAAAATCTCCAGTGGGATTCAGTCATAGGGGGGGCCCTACACTTTTGTGAGTTTTACCTCTAAGAGCTCAACCAGGTTCTCACAATAAATACGGGGAGAAATTCCTCTTGAACATCCCACAGGGAGGGGGAAAAAGAAACTATTCTGAAATATGGCAGGGTACTCTGTTCTTTTGAACAAGGCCTGCCCTGGGAGAAACTAGTTAACTGCTCCCAAAGGCAGCAGCTGAAGTTCCCGAGAAATACCTAGGCTGTGGAGGCTTCCCACTGAGAACTCTGGGGTCTAAACCCCAAGCTAGGCTTCCCAGCCAAGAACACCAGAACTGAGGCCACATAACATCTGGCTGTGAAAAGCAGCCAGGTTTCTATCTGCCAGGGAGAGGCAGCTGGATATGCAGGCACCCTCTTAAAGGGCCAACACACAAAGTTTTGTGTGCAGCAACTCACCTTAGGCTCTGGCAGAGAGAGGGCAGAGAGGACTAGAGCTGTGTGAGGAGAATCCAGGGTTGTGGACTCTAGAGATAGAACTCAAGAGGGCACCTATCTGGATTCCTGTGCTGAGCCATTCCCCCATACTGCAGAGGACATCTTTCTCAAGCAGAAATTTACTATCCAGGCAGCTTTTGCCTGGGGGGAGGGGAGGAAGCAATTGCCCCAACCTATTAGAAAACTCTCACCCCACCCTGTGGAGTTTCTACAGCCTGAGGCTCATTAACAGACTGTGAATAACAATCAGCCTCTGGGTGCTTTGAATCTTTGCTGATTTGCTTCTGGACCCAGGGCTTGGAAAAGCAGGCCTTGGTACACATCTTGGTCCTTTTCACCCAGCCTCAGAAAAGGGAGCCACAAGCTGTGGACTGCTGAAAGCTTCAAACAGGGTACTCAAGGCCAGTCACAAACAGTGTCTGACATTGGCCTGCACCAGTGATTATCCAAAAGACTGGGAGTCCTAGCAGATCTACTTAATACATGGAAACAAACCTGAGCAGGCAGCCAAAATGGGGAAACAAAAAAAAACAAGCCCCAAAGGAAAGAACATGAGAATTCCTCTGAAGAGATAAATGAAATGGAGATAAGCAATCTACCAGGTGTCGAGTTCAGAATACTGGTCATAAGGATGCTCAACAGCATGAGAAAAGATATGGAAACTATGCAAGAAATTAAGAATGACATAGTAGAAATAAAGAATACACTGGAAGGAATAAACAGATCAGGGGAAGCTGAGGATCAGATCAGCAAATTAGAAGAGAGGGTAGAAAAAAGTCACCTAATTAGAACCAAAAAAAAAAAAACAATTAAAAAACAGGACAGTCTAAGGGATCTGTGGGACAACATGAAGCATTACAATATTCGCATCATAGGAGTGTCAGTGGAGGTCAAAAGTAAGCAAGAGTTAGAGAACCTGTTTGAAGAAATAATGGCAGAAAATTCCCCTAACCTGGTCACGGAAGAAGTCACACAAGTTCAGGAAGCACAGAGTGTCCCAAGCAAGAACCCAAAGAGAAGCATGCCCAGACACATCATAATTAAAATGGGAAGAATT